CAAAGTAGAACAGGGCAGTATTTTTGATCAACATTCCACTTGCTTCTTAAAAATTTAGACAAAATTCCTAGTGCATTTTATTAAGCTTTACCTTTGGTGTTAAGCAGTGACTTTCTAGATTTCCTTTAAACAATTTCTGGAGTGAAGATTCTTTGGCTTTCGGGGACTATGCTATCTAATGACAGTCAAATATATATTTTTTTTCTAAAGAAAAACTGTAAATCTACTATTAGATACCATAAGGGATACAGATTGCAGAAAGAGATGCAGTATGCAGACTTTCTGTAATGAGATCACCAGCAGCTGAATTCTCACCTACCCTGGATTCCTTCACATCGCCACTCGCAGGAGCAACATAAAGGTACCTTACTGTATGTGAAAATCAGGCCTTATTTGTTTACGCTGAGTACTGAGTGCCAAACTACAATCTTCCGCTGCTTGAACGGTTTAACCATACAAGAGAACCAATTGTGCTAGCAGTAATACAGCTGAAATGGTTACTTTGCACCTCAGTACTTTCTAATTTTTTTTATATCTGGTATCCAAATCTGTTTATGCAAAAGGGTGTTTAAATTACTCTGCTAGAGCACTGCAATTATTGTACTTAGTAAAAAAAAGTCACTAAACAATTACTGTATCTATTGACTGCTCATTTACAGCTTATTTCATTATTTACATAATTTTAGGACACAATAATCTAAACCATAGAATTAGCTTTTTGCCTTACCATAAAGTACAAATTAGGAGTTAAAAATGTTTAAGAAATCTGATAATATTTACACACGCTCAGCTTAAGTTATGATTGCTCACATTGTATGTTTTATGTACACATAGCAAAATGTAATGATCACTAACGATATAGTATTGTACCCTGGCCATCCCACTCTAGATTTTCTAGAAATAGTTAATAATTTTGCCTTTTTGCCTTGGTTCCCTTAGAATTGTTGTTTTTGAAAACTTACTAGTGGACAATGCTGTTATAAAAAGAGAGAGAAGAAATAGGCAAGCAATGTGAGGACTAATCTAACTTCTGATGCTAGGAGGTACAGTACTACCATCATGTCAAATGGTGCAATGTTCCATACGAATTATATGCATTGATCTGCTGATATAGAAATGCCCAGTTACCCTGTATTGTAAGTTTTGTTTAAATACATTAATCTTTTTTTCTCAAAAATATAATCATACACTGGTTGATGATAGAAACAAAAGTATTATTAGCTTATTCCTTTAACACACCAACATATGAATGTTTGTGTATATATATATACTCACCATGTGTATATATACACACATATGTCCATACAGACACATGTCCATATGCACATACAGTTGGATAATGTTTAACATTTGTTCACTTAAGTTCTGTGTTAATTATAGAATTGTAACACAGACTAATAATTACAATGAAAAAATAATCAAACCTTAATTTTAATGCATATTTTGTCTGAAATAAGGATTTGCTCCCCAGGTGCAAGACCACCACTCATTTTCTCTATGCATTGTGCTTTTGTACCTTACAGATTTTATATCCTTTGTATTAGAATGTAAAAACTCTGAAGAACTGTGTGACATACTATTACCTGCTTTCCTCCTCAGGAGCAAGAAAAGAAATGTTCACAATGGCATTGCTTGAGTCTTTCTTCCCAGTCATTAAATTGCAATAGGATAGAAACATAACATTCCTTATGCAAACATGGAAATATGTTGCATGGATTTTCAGTTCTGAAAATGTGTATCATACTTACTAGCAGTCATATACAGTAGATATTTACAGATTGATCTCAAATATTTCATTAAAACTGTGCCATGTTATAGTCATAATTTGCCAATGCATTTCGATAAGATGAAAAACACCTTAATTGCTGGCTATCATGTCTAGAACAATAAAATGGTGACTATAATTGCATTACAAGATCCACCTAAAATTAAATTTTATATTTTGCTTATTGAAACTATCAATAATCAACAGAATTAGTAGGATCTAGAATATTTTCTGCCAGTTCTAAAGTAAAAGCAAATTTATTCTAGTTTACCTGCAGGGTAGCGCACACATTAGTACCCATGCCTCATGAATATTGGCATAATTTCTCACTTTCACTCAAGTATCTCAGAAAGAGCAAGTGCTCACCATGGGCTCTTGAGTTCTACTCTTCCCTCGACAGTGCCTCGCCAGTCTTTCTTACCCGCATCTTTTTGTATCACAGTGTTGAGCCTTAAGTACAAAATGATAACCACTCAATTTCAGGAAGAAACCTTCCCTTTCACTTATTATATGTACCACATTAGTAGCCAGAAGGACTTTGTAAAAGCAAAAAATCTCCTTCATCCCAGGTAATACGTCTTTTCTAGTGACACCTGAGCAAAAACCAAACATTCTCGTTCACACTCTGAACAGTGACATCAGAGAGTATTATGGCTTATACTATAACTTCAGATAAACTAATGTGCAGTTCAAAGTTTCAGCTTCTGTGGTTTTCACAATTACTTCATGCAGTAAATGCTGACAAACAACATATTTTTTGTAAAGTTTCATATTTGAGGTGCATCAACCACAAACAAGCTGTGAGCAACCTGTGTTCACACTATGATTCTGTGAAACAAACAAATATAAGAGGAAAACAAACCCAACCCTACACAAAGAATGGATAGCAATTTGTGAAATGAAAGAAAAACTTTTATAGTAGAATACTATAAGACGGCTTTTATTTACGATAACGGGTATCATTATTAATGAACAGACTTTGAAGAGAAATTCTGCATTTAAATGTGGCACTTTTGAAGTTTTCTACAAATTGGGAAAAATTGCAGCATGATTCATACTTGAAATTCCATACTCATCTGCAAAGCTTATTGCACTGTGCATGAAATGCAGCCTCAAAACAGTAATCTCTCATTTGAAAAATGAATACATGTCTTACGCTCAAAACAAAGTCAGAAAGTCTCCTATGTTTCCCACAGCTGTTTTCTTCCTATCTGTTAAAGGGGGCAGGAAAGCACAGTAACTTGTTGGAAAATTACTCTTTTAAAGCACGAACAAAATTTTCAAATAAAATATTTTATCAAAAATATCCTTATACGCTATTTTAAAGCACTGCCAAAGTTATAAGGGGAAAAAGTATCTACATATGAAAACACTTCCTATGATATCTGGAAGGTACTGAAATTTGAGTTCATTTCAGAAATTTGCACATGTGAGAGGTAGCATAGATACAGTAGTATGTGGCTTTTGCTTCATTAAATATTTTCTTTTAAACAAGATTGGGAATTTAATTTTATAGAAGACATCAGAAATTTATACTTTCTATGCAGTTCCTGAAAACTTTTAGTTTTCCATTACAGAAAACTTTTGCACAGTGGTCTAAATGGGAAAATCTACTTTGCCAAAAAATTAAAGCTCTATGGAATGAAAAAAAAAATAATATATATATATATATATATATGTATGTATGTATGTATGTATGTATTTTCCAAAAGTAAAATTGAATTTTTGTACTTTTTCCAATGGAAAACACCCTAGGAGAGACTTCCATGAGTGTGGCGAGGCACTGGAATGAGCTGCCCAGAGAAGCTGTGGGTGCTCTATCCCCGGAGGTGTTCAGGACCAGGTTAGATGAGTCCCTGGGCAATCTGATTTCATGGGTCACAACCCTGCCAAAGCAGGCGGTTAGAAGTAGATGGTCTTCAATGTCTTTTCCAACCAAAACCATTCTACGATGCTATAGTGTAAACTACCAATTTATTCCCTTTAAAATAGTCCACTAAGCAAAACAAAACAAAAATTGAAATGGTATTGCTTAATCCAGACTGAGAGAAAACTCATCAGTATTGAAATACGAATGCTCAGTTCTTTGCTTTAAAAAGAGGTATGATACCTTCAATCAATCTGGATGTTTGGTGTAAAGCATAATGACAGTGGTAAGCATAACACTAGAAAGATAACAAATTGTAAAAAAATCACAAGAATCTACATGAATATTTCAGACTAAGGTATGGTACTACGACTGACAACATTCATTTGCACAGTATGCTTTTATATATATATATGTATATATACTTTTACAAATATGTAGCCTTCACTTTCCCTGGTGCTTTGTTTTCAACTGTTCTCTACCTTTCAGTAGAATGGCAGAGCACCATTGGTTTCCTTCAACCACCATGAGAACTACTAATTGGCCAACCAACTTTTGGCACATTGGACAAACAATTCCCTTCCCCACACAAAAAAACAGTTACATCTACCCATTCAGGACATGATTGTTTAACTTGTCTTACACCATTGCTACATTCCTCTCCCGATCACAGCTACAGTCATAGGGACTGTGAGCATATGCTATCTCTTAAAAACCCAAACAAAACTAGTGCTTTTTGCTTCAGCATCTGTGCAAACACCCAACCCAAAATAGTATCAGTCAAAGGTTTAGCTCTTTCAATAAATAACAGGAAATACCTGAATGCGGTTGGGAAACCTCTGACCATCATCATCTTGGAAAGATGATAGGCACTATTTGTTTTCAAGTTTACACCTTTGAAAGGTAAAGTGTGTTTCATAAGCACGATAATACCTTAGTACACTCTAATATGTGTACATGCATGTCTTGGATACGCAGTTTCAGGGAATGAGTGGTTTATACTGCAGTTGAAACAAAACTTTTTTTTTCAAATGCCTCTCTGATTTGTGTCACTACACTCACATGAGCATTTAAGAAAAAGATGTGAGAGACAGCGAGACAGAGATGATTGTCAGAATCTAATTTGCCTTCACATTTGAAATACACTTATATTTTCATAAAGGGGATATGTCCATACTGCAAATTTATATATTTATGATTTAGCAGAAACAACCAAAATGTTACAGAAACATACCATAGAGTGGGCCAGCAACTAAGGTGTTTTAAAATAACTTTTTGTCCTGAATAGAATTTTTCTAAGTCCCACTTTCGGCTGTACAACTGATTTGAAGAGAAATCCAGTTCTTGCTTCCTGTGTGGCTTTGTTTCTTAGTTCACATAGTAAAGCCAATAGACAATATTGAAGAAGGAAAAAACAACAGGGAAGAATATGCGCGACCATCTATCTATGGCATTTACATCAGTCAAGTCAGGGATAGTAATTTTCAGTTGAGATGCACGTCTCCGTAGCCTACTTTTCTTCTGTGCCACATGCCTCTCCAGGGCATTGCGACCAAAGCTGTGTCTGGGTAAGCCAGCTTTCCGGTACTGGATGCTTGAAGTGTCATAGGCCAGCATCGTGCTCCTGGGGTCCCCAAGCCCCATCACAGCCTCAGAGGCAGCCATCTCATTTTTAATTTCAAGAGTGCTCAACAAAATATTTTCATGTGGGTCCATCTGTAAGAAACAAGAAGGCAGATTTAACAAAGTAAGAAAGGAAGACCATTCAGTTGCAAACTGAAGCCATGCTGACAAGGGCCAGATCCAAAACTACTGATTCTTTGGATGCCAGCCTGTCTATAAGGCTTTAAGCAAAGCTGTGACTAATCATTATTGTTTATCTATAAACTCAAGGAGCAATTAGGCTGAAAATACATAATAGAATAGATGGTGTCTCCCTAGATACTACGTTTAGTGAGTAGAAACAATACTTGGAAATGGTGTGTATTATCAGCTCCTGAATGCGGAATTCTGCTATTGGTTATGATATCTGGAGCTATTATTGTGCTTTTCAGGGATTTCGGAAGAAAATCAAATGGAAAAGAGTCTGCTTTTTACTTTGGTTTGTTCTGTTTCTCTCAAATGAAAGATTCTGATAAAAGCTTTATGTATTCACAAAGTCTTCTGCCTCAATATAAAGAACTCCTGAGCAATTCATGGGAGAATAGCCAGTCCCCATATTCCAAACAGGACTGTTAGTTGCTTGGGAAAGATGCTGATAGTATAATCTAAACTATGTAGAATCCCTGTTCCCCAGTGCTAATGTGCTACAGAAGTGCAGTGTGCAAAACACTGGAATAGCAGAAGCCTACAATTTTGAGCAAGGAAAAATATATAATGTTCAGACTGTAATCACATCAAATGTACTTCAAACAGCTGTTTCAATGGGTAGCTTTGATTACTATATATGTTTTTAATGCATTTCAGAGAGAAGAAAATAATGCAGATTTGTAAATAAAACTTAGAAAGTTAATAGGACTTCGAAGATGAACTAAATTCTATTCCTTCCTAGGCAGTCTGGATAGATTTAAAGTATGATTGGAGAACTTCAAATTAATCCATTCAGTTATCTTGGAAATTCTAATTCACCTCAGCTTCTCTTCTATGTATGTATTTTGAATTGTGTAAGAATAGAATCATAGAGCATAACAATGTTTTGAAAACAAATAATGGGCAATTAGCGTCTAAGTAACTACAAAGACTTGAATTATGGCAGTGCAGATACATTCAGCATCAAATAAGAAATGGAACTGTTCCAGAGCTCCTTTAAGAATAATTGATCTACATTAACCGTTTATTGTGTACTCAATATATACAATTATTACTAAAAGTGCACAAATGGTGACTTTTGTGGATTTCTATCCAACAACATGGCATTAATCTCTTCTGTAACATTTCACACGGCATGATGAGTTGAAAATATTAACTTCTTAAGAGGATCTATTGCACACCATTATGGATTGGAAATACAGTAATTCATGAAAGTACATTGGACCTACTGAAACACTGCCATTTGAGTGATTACATCTGCTCAAGTGATGCATTCTGAATTGCCATCATTGAGATGCCAGATTTCCACCTCTCCCCCCCACACTTTTTTCTCAATCTGTGAGTTTGCACACCTCTAAATTTCTTTCAATTTTAGTTTTAGATTAACTGTAGTGATTCACTCTGAGACAGCCAACATCACCTATTTTTGTTTGCTTCCTACTAAAACTATATAAAATCTTTGAAATCTGAAGCTTGCTAGGGAAATAAACTGTTTTTGAGAAACTCTATAAAAATTGAAAAGTTGGCCTGAAACTCAAGACAAACTCCTTTAAGAACTTCCCAACACGATTTTAAACATGGTGGGGAAATACTGCATTCTAGCCAGAAAGGACATCAAATCAATTTTCATCTGCATGAAACAGGATTAAGTTAAAAAAAATGTGTTATGTTACTGCAGTACAAATAAAAGGAAGCAAATGGAAAAGTCATCAAATCAAATAGATATCAAAAACTTCTCAAGAGAGCTTGTGATTATCATTTATTTATTTTTGTACTGAGTGCAGTTATTTAGAAAATTCTGAAGAGATTTCTGGGGTAAATCAAAATTGGCTGTCATTTTTGTCATAAGATCTCAAAAAAAAAACATAAAGGACTTCCAGTATCCTGAACTTAAGAATGTTCAAAAGAAAGTAGTAATTACCTTACAAGAGGAATGCAAAGCCAGTTAGAAACTACACTGTCCATATGGTTTCACATTTTTTTTAACAAGAGAAGAGAAATTAGTCCCAATTAACACAAGGGGAAATTTGACATAACATCTAGTGCAGTGATTTTAACTGAAAGCCTAGAGATTGGGTTACATACATCTCAGTGTTGTGCGCTGTAAGATACTGTGTTTGGAAAAACTTTGGAATCGACATATTTGCTCACATCTTAAATGTTCTTGGGCTGAATCTATTCTAAACATTTCATTCTTTTGATCCATAATATCAGAAATTTGAGTGCTCTTTACACACTCATGCTCTTTCTGTGTAACACAAGCATAGTCTGACAGAGTTTGATATAGACATATTTTAGTATACTGGTTGTATCATTCTTTCAGCTGACTTTTTGGTTTGAATCATTTGACATTGGATTTTACATTTAAAATCAGTGAAGTAAAAAATGTACTGAATATATGTTTCTAACAGAGAAAATTGCTGCAGCTATCTAGTAATTTTGGCAGCAGTCAGTAACACTAGTGATGCCGGGCAGAAAGAAGATTCAGCAATATTCTAAGACTATCTTCTAGGGCAAAGTGTCTTCTGCACATATCACATTAATATAAGAGTTGGAACAAAGCATTGCTCAATGTTTCAAGAATTTTTCATAAGAAATAATTCAAAATACAGCAAAAATTAGGGATGGGCGAACCATCAAGTGTTAGAACAGCCGTGTAAACACCACAAACTTCAGGTGCTTCTCTAGCCCTAATCTGACCTTTCTGAACCTGAAACAGTAGATAGATTGAGAGCTACAAGAACTGCATTTTTCATGGTATTTTGAATTCCCAAAACTCCCAGTTCCAATCCAGAAGTACAAGTGAGTGTGAAAACAAAACAACACCAATAACAAGAAAAATTAACCTAAATTTTCAACCTCTGACAACAGGTTCCTTGTCAGATTAGAGAGCTGGGAGTGTTGCTTGCACCAAGCAGGTTCGCCCAACTCTAAATAAAACATGCTTTTGTGACCAACAGCATCGCCCATTCTAAAGGATCCCAAAGCGCTTTACAAGCATTAGAAAGAAGAACCACTTCACTTCTCAGTGAAGCGCAATCACCTGTGAGGTAAAAGGTTGGGTCTGATGCAGAATCATACACTATATTTTAGTTGAGGAAATGGAGAATGCCATAGCCAATTGAAACTATGGGGTGGGTGAGTGGTGGTGGGGAATGTTAGGTAAACAGAATAGTTACAAAAATTGATATTTGGCCACATGCTTGGTGTAGATGACCACTCTATAAAAAAAAGTGCCATGGGATCTTTAATGACCATTAAGTGGTAAGGATCTGAATCTTAAGTCTCTGAGGATAAAACATTAGAAAACAATGAAAGATACCTTTGTTGAATACATTTCTGGACAATGATATGTGCCAATTATTCTTCTGTCCTGTAAGTTAATAAAATCAAGACCAGTTTCCTTAGAGATAAGGCAGCTATTATCTTTCATTTAAAATTAAAGCACTCTAGGGTATTAATAGGACAACTTGTTAAAAGATACAGGGACCTCTAAGCCAACAATTATTAAAAGTACATTCTGGCTTCAGAGGTGCTATTACTGCCTTGCCCTGCTACTCAAGGTAACATAACTTTACAATGTAAATGTATTTTTTCCAACTGGTCACTGTGACCAAGGAAGATATGATGATATGAAAATAATTGTTAAAATTATTCTGGGGGAAACGTAAGTGTAAAAAGTGATTTCAAAAGGAGGTGGAGGAAGGTTAGAAAGATCTCCTGGTGCTGAAAGATTGTTCAACCATAGAACTAGACTCTTCATGGTGAACAGGAGAGTTCAAACTTAAAGGACAAATTCCCAAGGGCAAAGAAGAATGGGAAGATGCAAAGATGAAGAAAAAGCAGAAGCAAGGGCTATGGAGATAAAAAGAAAAAAAAGGTGAACACAGAAGTGGAGAAGAAATGACAAAAGCTCAGCAACCATGCAAGAGAATGTATTTTTATTTAAAAAATAAAAGTAAAAAAATAATAATCTTAAAGGTGGATGAAAAAATATGATATAAATGATATTCACTTATAGGTTCGGGTCAACCAGTGGAAAAGTTGATTCCAGAACCTTGGAAGTGGCCATGAACATTTTTATGGCCTCAAAGGGAATACTGAGGAAAATGTAGAAATGTTACCATTATATATTATTCTTGCTATCTAGAAACTCCAAAATGATGGCTATCTTGAGGAATTCCTCTTATGCTAATATATCAGCAACTATAAGATACAAGGAAATCGCAACTCGCAATTACACATGCAGATAGACATAAGTACATTAGGAATCCTCCAAGTGTAATCACATTTCTAAGATCATTAACATATAGTAAACCAGCACCTGGATGATAAAATTGTGTGGATATGCCAAACAGTTTATCAGTAGGAGATAAATGTGCATCGATAAATAAAAAATATATAGCATTTACTCATTTGCTTTCTCATATTTTCATCATCAGACAGCAAATTTCCAACTTGAAAAACTTTCAGAATCAAAACTATTGTAAATTATATAGAAATATCCTTTTGCTAGGTAATGTTGCCATTAATCAGTAGAAAATTATAAGTTGAATCAGTGAAGAAGAACAAAAGTAGCTAATTCATTATGAAAGTTAACACTGAATATTAAGGTTCAGTATTTATAGATCCAGTCAATCAATATTCTTAAGAAATGAAAACACAAATAAATACCCCTTTAACACTGAAAGCCTAACAGACAAGAAAATATTACAGGTCTAGATATATAATTTGATTTGGCAGAGATAAAAATCTTGTATTATACACAGGATAGTTTCCCACCTCTTGGAATCAGAGCTTTTCTTTGAAAACCACTGGCATCCCATTCCTGACTAGTCTCAATAGCTCCAACAATATTTGGTGCAAGTACAAAAGGCACTGTGTAGAAAATTCACTAAGGTAATGCTATCCGAACTAATACAGCAGAAATGCCTAATAATTCAAAACATCAATATACGAAACAATGCCCTTAAGAATGTAACAAACACTGCATTTCCACTGTCTATGCAAGATGTAAAACTATTGCCAGGACTGTTTATGAAACCACAGTAGCAAGCATTCACTCAATTTATGTTATGCTCCTAGGATATGAGTCAGGTTGTAAAGTATGCAGTTAGAGGACAGTAAAATTAGGTTGACTCATAATTTCAGCTTACTTCAGTTTCAGATTAAAAAAAAAAAAAACACAACAGATAAATACTGCAAATTCAACTGTGAATTTTCTTTTGGTTCTCAAACTTTAAGCCTAAAACTTTAAGCAAGGCCAAAAAGGCCAATTAGAATTTAGGGGAAAAAAAAACTCAGTAAACATGTAAAATCTGGACGCAGAGCTTTAAATAATTCTCTAATGACTTATAATTCTAAGTTTCCAAGCATCTAGTGTTACTCCCAAATATATGTAATTTCTTGATCATTATCATTAGTAACACATCAGTAAATTAGTTGTAAGTACTGTAGAACTCTGGAGAAATAGTTGAAAACATATGCTTCCTTTTGGCATCCATCCATTCAAGATTCTGTACTTGAGATACACCATAATAGGTGCTCAAAGAAAATGAAAGAATTATCTGTGACTTGGCACTTGAATCAAAATTGTGAAACAGAACTTGTGCAAACTATTGCACCGATTGACACATTCTGAACCAAAATCCAGCAAGACAAATAGGCAAAAGCAGGAGGAAGATAGTGAGAGACGGAAAAACAGCCTGCTGCTGTCTTGTCCTGAACTTGAAGCTCACGCTAAGATCTTGTAAAATACTGCAAAAGCTTCTTTGGTCTTATGGTTATGGTCTTATTTTTACCTATTTATTTTTCAGTAAAGCGCCTTAGCAAAATCAAGACAGATAAACCAAGACTGCAATATGATTCTGTAGAAAAGTTTCTTCCTCTATCCCAGTTTTGGCCAAGGTAATTCATGCCAATGCAATCTTTAGTGGAAGGAATGCATTACATAAGGTCTGGATGTTGCACATACAAGTAAAGCTCACATAGATGATATTTAAAAGTAGTTGCCATCACCCCTTTGAGAAACTTCAGGTTCAGATTTCATTTTTGAAAACCATCAAAACCATCATTCAGATCAATTTCTTAATTCTGATTGCATCTTAAAAACGAAACTCTTCTACAAACCAACAACAAAACCCTACTGTATAGTAAAGACAGGCATTTTGAGGAAAAAATATTTTTGAAATACTGGGTGAAAAATCTTTAGGAGGTGCTCCAAATGTTCTAATGCAGTATTTTTTTAATTTTTATTTTTACTATTGTTGAAAAAATTGTTTCAGTCTAAGTGATCTTACAGCCTAAACAATCACAGGAAGAGGTAAAGCTTCATAATTAACAGCTACAAGTAGTCTATATAGATGGGCAGAAATTACAGAAGAGGAATTTGAGATGTCTTTCAGTTCAGCATACTATGATTCTGCTTATAAATATTTCTGATACAACTTCTACATTGTTTGAAATTTATTTCCCATAAAATAGTCATAATGAAATCTTGTGATTTGTAGAAAGAAATCAGATGATCATTTCAGTCAATATCAATAAAGCAAAGGTAGAAGGAGCTGAAAAACACCCACCACCTTCATTACCGTAAGATTTTCACCACTTGTCACACATAACATAATTCAGTGATGTCAAAATTCATGAGCACAACTAGGTAACACCTCCTAGCACATAACATTTAGTACACCCATCATAAACAGTTAATTTTCTTCTTTTTTTTCTTTTTCTCAATGAAAGTGACTGACTTATGGCCATTCAACTAAACTTTGTCAAACTGCTCAGAACTGATCTGCTTTGGGAAAATCATTTTCTCCAGATTAAGCAGCCAGACATCCATTCCAGTCTGCACCTATATACCTTTCTTCTACTTCACTATACATCATCTTATCTTACCATTTGCCCTTTTTATGGAGTTCTTATTTGCCTGCAATCTGAATTATTAATTATTATTACATTAATGGATAAACTGATTCTTTTTTTTCCCAATCAAAAGTGCATTTAATTCAGGATTGCTGTTGGATGATTAGATGTACTATAAAGGCAAAGGAAACAACTTGCTTTAAACAAATGGAATGTAAAAGCGCCATTCTCATGTTAATTAACCATGGCGTTCAAAGGAGATTGGCTGCAGAAAGAAACCCTCATGCAGTCAACTTGACCTTTATTCAGATGTCATGTTGAATATCGCTACAGATCACGGAAATGTATCACCTTCTGACTGCTTCTGCAAAGTACTGCAGGCTAAAACTGGGACTGCCTCGAATTTCATTGCTGTCATCCCCCCCCAAGTTTCAACCACACAAGAACAGGCTGGCTGAGCACCCTGCATGTTGCTACTTGTTTCATTTGCAGTTATTCCTTGATAATGCTAGAATGTAAAACGAGGAAAAAGTCTGAGCTTCTGTGGTCCATTCCCAATTTTACTGCATGCCTTTCAATAAACCAGGTAAGGAATATCTTCTGTGCCTGACTCAAGAGTCAGCCCTCATGCTGCCTTATGTGTACTTCAAGTAAAAGGAGAACTCCTTGGAGGAGAAAGAATACTTTCACTGAAATCTGGACAGTGGCAGCACTAGCTCCAGTGATATACAGAAGTGAGGATGTGAGATTTTGAACTGAAATTTTCAGGTCTTCATGTTGCCATGGCATTTTAACATCCTGTTCAGTTCAATAACTGAGTGTGCACATCGGTGTTTCAAAATACTTCTTTAAAAAAAAAAAAAAAAAAAAAAAAAAAAAAAAAAAAAAAAAAGCAAGCTTTTTCTGTATTATCTTCTTACTCACACACACCAGAAACACCCTAATGATTTGGGCATAAGATATAGTTCTGTGTGATAAAGCCTGATCCTTTCAGGTACCATGTAATAGTTATTCCTAACCAGATGTGTATTTACTTGATACTTTCAGCTAAAAATGAACAAATATCGCTGTAAACTGAGAAGGCTGGAGGGATTCCTGCATTAAAACAGAGCATTGGCCAGCATCAGCCAAGTCTAATCTAATCAGCATTGCTCTGAAGATCTAATTATCTCAGGTTTACAGCCATATTAGTGCATCTTTACACCTTAGTCCAAAAACTGAGAAGAGTTTGTAATGTACCAAAAGCTATCAAAAGTTGGCCTGCAAAGGCTCATCTGTAGATATCTGTGGATTTACACTGTCTGATGCATGATTTTGTTGTTCTTAAAATACGATAATGCAGTGGACTCCTCTGAAAACGAAAAACCTGGTAACAATTTAGTTATTCTGACTAAACTTGGTCAGATTTTGTTAATCAAAGAAATGCGGGGAAAAATCTCAATTAGGAGCTGACGCAAATTGAAGGGGAAGAAAGTTCCCACGTTAAGTGTAGTTGAGGGGCAGGCTAAG